TAACACCGGAACTTGATGTCTAGGACTTTCAACAGTAGGTAGAAGCACTTGTTGCCAAACCTAATGACCTGAGGTACCCACAGTGGAAGGACGTACTGTCCTCTAACCCCTACATACAAGCCATCACATGCATGCAATCACACAAATAAGTAAATATTGAAAAAAATTAAAAGACAGCCACTGCTAGCCCTTCGCAGGACTATAGGCTTTAAATCCAGAGAGGTAGAAAGCCACCAGGGCCAAGCGATATCACTGAGTTTAATAGCTCTGCTCTCCTCAGGTAGACAGAGTCAGATTGCTTATTGCTGCCTAGAACTGCCTCCTCCTAGCCAGGATAGAGGGCAAAAATAGGGAAGACAGTCTTGTTTCCTAACTGATTCTTTACAGGAAAATGGATACAGCTCTGTGGTCCACCCAGATCCCATCACTACACTGCACCATGCTCTTCCAGCTGTTTCTGCCCGTAGGGGTATGCATGGGGACATCTTGGGGCACTAGGGCAGGTCTGCATGGGGATTACATTTCTCCAGCAGGGACAATTTAATCTACCTCACCTTCATGTAGAATGCTAACCTGCACAGACCCTAGTGACGACTCTCTCTCTCTCTCTCTCTCTCTCTCTCTCTCTCTCTCTTTGACAGTTTGGGGAAACTGAGGCTAGAATAAAGGCCTCCCAACTAGTCCAAACAGAAAGCCCAAAGAGCAGATCTTCAGGCCCCTAGCTCTTGGCAATGTTTAAGAAGCACCCTCAGGTACCAGTCTCCGGGCATCTCTTCAGTGACCTGCAGAGGTCTCCATCTCCTTGTGAAGGTGGTTAGGCACAGAGAAGGGAAGTTGGGAAGATGGTTGGGAAGCACAGTGGCCAGGCCACCTGCAGCTCCACATCCATGACCCTGTGTGCAAAGGACCCTCTCAATGTATGGTTACCGTTTGTGACCTGTGTTGGCCCTTCGGCTGGAGTGGTACAGGTGGGCCTTACCCATGGAAGCAATCACAGAAAGTGTGGAGAGGTGTTGAAAGGACACTGGCAGTGTGTGTGTGTGTGTGTGTGTGTGTGTGTGTTGATGGTTGGTGGGGGAGAGAGGGATAGACAAGGATCCCATGAGCAAAGTTTAAGGCCAGAGCCTTCTGGGATCTGAAATCCTGAGAGGCAATCAACATGCCCGACCAGTCAGGGGCTCCAGCAGAGAGCGCAGGAGCCTGGAAGAAGCCAAACAGCCCTGTGAGCGGCTCCTTCCAGAACCCTGTCCTGCTGAAAATATAAAGTGGTAACTTCCGCTTTGATTGTGGGCCGGCAGCCAATCAAGGGTCTGCAATGGCCCCCTCACCTCGCCCCTACACCTAGAGCAAGAAGGGCCCTGTGCGCTCCAGGAACTTGTAACAGGCTTCTCCTCTCCATCCTCCTCCTTTAATTTTCCCCATGTACGCCTGCCCGGTGGTTCTGTCAAGCAGGGCAAATAAAGGCCGTGTCCTCTCTGGGTGCCTGGTGACCTCTCTGTTCAAGATAGGCCTTGGGGCAGAGATTCAGGAGTGGGGCACATTCCTCCCTCGTTACACAGGAGGGAGAATCCTGTGTAAAGAGAAAGCCCAGGCAGTGGGAAGCCATTGTGGGATTCAGACCTTTCAGGGTTGTGTGCCCACAGGATTTACCTGTCTGTGTGGGCTTGGCATAGTTTATAAGTCCTGGGGAGACAGCAAGGACAAGAAATAAAGCCAATGAGGTACTCAGTCCACTTGCAAAAGCCAGTAACCCAGCAAAATTCACTCCATGCAGCTCCTACCGTACTGGGACACCCCACTGACCTCCAGGGTCAGGCCTTAACCACCAGATCTATAGCACAATAACTAAGCAAGTATTCTGGGCCACAGACATGAGCTCCCTGAGAGCTGGGACCATATTGCATATCCTCTTGGAGGCTTGGCTCAGTGGATGCCAGGTTCTCCCAGATTCTTCAGGACTCTCCAGTGCAAGTAGGTGGGACAGAACTAGTGGGAAACTTGGCCACTTAAAATGGTTTTTTTGGGGGGAGTGGGGTGGCAAAGACAGAGAATGTGGGAGCAGACACACGGAAGGCCAGAATCTGGCTCCATGTGTCTGGTGTGGCAGGGAAGAATGGGACCACCTTCTCAGGGAAGCGCAAGCCATCCTGGGTCTCTTGTGGTTCTGCGATCCTCAAAGTAGGGCAAGACTCCACAAGCTTTGACTCTGGGTGGAGGCTATCTCCCTACTTCACCCCATCTGTCTAGAAAGATGCTCGCCGGGGCTGAGACAGGACAAGGCACAACAGTCCTTGAATGCTCCAGAAATTCTGGGTCTTCTGCCAAGTTAGGACTTCCCCAGGATGGAGTAGGTATCAGAACGCTGCTTCCCCCTGGGAAAGTCTTCCTAAGACAGATACAGAATCCATCAAGTGGATGATGTAATGGAGGTCAGGGAGGGGTACTTTCCTGGGATATTCCAGAATTCATGGTGGCTGAATAGGGAGACAAGAGCCGAAGCCCAGGGTACAGTGATATCTAGATAGATAGCAGAATTGGCTGGGAAAATTCTCCTTCAGCTCCAAGATATCCTTGGGAGAGTCACAGGCACTCCTGCCTTCCTGCCAACGCAGAAGTGTCCCTTTTGAGCTGCCCTGATAGACAAGTGTGTTATGTCTGCCATGGACTAGGCACATGGCCAGAATTTCCTGAGTGACCCCTTTCCCCCTGATTAGTATGTGGGATCAGGCATGAGTTCAGGACTTGGCTCTGCTGTCATTTTTCCCTTATGGACTGAACTTGTAGAGGTCTCTTAGACACCATGGAGGACAAAGACCTCCCTAAGGAGTGCCAGTCATAAGGATGGGCCAGACCACCTCAGATGCTCATGCGTCTGTCCCGTGGGGCGTAAGGGGCTTGGGGGCCCATTTCCTTCCCCCTGGCCATGACTTCCTCTGTGATAAATGCCTCAACCCAGGGTACCCACATGCTTCTGGTTCCCCCAGGGCCTAATGTGGAGGGACACTCCCAGGAAACTCCTTCCAGAGGGTTCTCTCCTGGCCTTGTGGGCAGGGAGGCCAAAGAGGGGTCACCCATCCGATCTCCACCTCCGCCCTTCCACAGCTCCACTGAGGCCCCTGAGTCAGCAAGGCCGTCTGATGCTGTTGACGCTTCTTTCCATACATGCAATCTAGGAATCCCTGCCCGTGTCACCGCCTCCACCCTGATGTCATCTTTCTAGAAGAAAGATGATATCTGCCCACAAACTGCTCCCCCAAACCTTTAGAGATCGGCCCCACGCGCGCTGACTTCGGCACCTGTGGACTGTATCCCTGGCATGAGCCTTGACTCCGTGGCCTCTGCTTTCCTCCCTTTCTGCTACTCCCCAAGGCTCTTGGCCACCACCCTGCCACATGCTCGGTTGAAGAGACTCGTCTTTAGTACTTCCACACAGCCACTCTGGCCCTCAGTCTTTCTACCTAAACGATTCTCGTAGCCTTGTCCTGAGTTCCCACCTGTTATCTGACCCTCAACAGTCCTTGCTTTTGTCTTGATTTCATCGGTCTACAGAAAAGCTCCTTGGGCCCTAATCATGTTGCTCGGGGCCTCTTTTCGTATCAAAAGGGCACTGCTTAGAGGTCCAAAGTCTCTCACAAAGCAGTTGAAAACAGGTGGCGTTCACGTTAAACGCACCCTATGTAAAACCTCCTCCCCCCATCCCCAACATGTTCCTGTGAGGGCATATATGTCCAACACCACTAGCATACACGCATGACTAAAGAGGTAGATATATGTAACCCAAGGACCTCAGACTTCCTGCCCAGGGAGGCTCGGGCCGGGTCCCGTGTACAAATGCAAACTCGTGCTGTCTTCTCTAAAAGCCATTGTGAAAATCAAACACTTCTTAGCCCCTCAAGAGCCTGCCGCTTTTCCAGAAGCGGTTTCTGCTTCTACAGAGAAGCCTCTGGAGCAGGAGGTGGGCTGGAGCGAGAGGCTGTGCAGGCAACTAAGCCTGGAAGAACTTTCTGGAGAAGTCAGAGACCGATGTGCCTGGTACCCAGCAGCCACCACGTTACAGCCAGCCTCAGAGACTCCAGGTGCCCATTAGTGGTACAGACAGCAGTGGCATGTCCTCTCTGAAGGGGCAGGCTGCCCTGAAGAGGGCAATGAGGCGCACATAGCTCCAAGAAAGGGTTACTTGGTCAGGTGGGGCTAGAATCAGCAGTCAGGCTGGGTGTGTGTGTGTGGGGGGGTGCTGACCTGCCTCAGCCAGGAGCTCCAGCCATGCTTTGGGATTTAAACGTGCCTTTGTAAATTGGGATTGTAGAAGTCAGTTGGGATGGCACCATAAGAGAACATGCTGTAGCCTTCTGTACCCAATCACAGCCATTTTTCTCTGCTCTCAAGGTTGGGGAAGGGGCTTGGTTGGGTTTGCCCATGACTGTGTCCTCAGTGGGAGTCTGTGGAGACCACAATAGAACTGTGCCATGTGGCTGGACCTTGTCCAGTTAGATAATGGGGTGGGCCTGTGGGAGGTCCGTATCTCAGAAGGCTGGGAAGAGAATGGGCCAGGGTTAGGGCTGGAATGAGCCCCCAGCGTAGGTACAGCTTGCCCAAAGGCCTCCTGGGACAGCAGGTGCTATGGAAGCAAGAGCCCCACTCAGTGTCTCCCGAGCCCCACCCCAGCCACTTCAGGCCAGGAAGTCCAAATATGCTTGGAGGCCCCTCAAAAGGAGAGGCTAGCCAGAGGCTGGGTCAGACTGCCCAGGCAGGGTGAGAGGGGCCCTCAAGGAAGCCGGCAGGTGGGCTGCCAGTTCTTGGAAGGGCTCATTAATGAAAACCCCCAAGCCTGACAACCTGGGGGAAAGGCTCACTGGCCCCACGTGTAGCTGATAAGGGCCAGGAGATTCCACAACTCAGGTAGTTCCCCCGCCCCCCTGGAGTTCTGTGGTCACCATTAATCATTTCCTCTAACTGTGTATATAAGAGCTCTTTTGCAGTGAGCCCAGTACTCAGAGAGAAAGGCTAAGGTCCTGAGGAGGATGTGGCTGCAGAATTTACTTTTCCTGAGCATTGTGGTCTACAGCTTCTCAGCACCCACCCATTCACCCATCACTGTCACCCAGCCTTGGAAGCATGTAGATGCCATCAAAGAAGCTCTGAGCCTCCTGGAAAAAATGTGTAAAATCCCTGCCATGCTGGTGAGTGAGGGAGAGAGTTTGGCTGTTTCCAGGCCACCCGCTGGCCCCTGCCTGGCCCTGCCTGTCAGTTTGGTAACATGGCGCTTTCCTTCTACAGGATAAAGACGACGTAGACATTGTCTCTGAAGAATTCTCCGTCCAGGTAAGCCGCTTCTTTCTGGAGTAGCTTCCCGGGCTCCCCTGCAGGGCTGCTTTAAATAGCCCCTTGCACAGTTGTCTACACTCTTCCAAGTCAGCTGGTTGCTAGGGGGAGGGGGCGGAGGCTGGACAGTAAGGAAGTACAAAGCCATTCCTCTGTGGCAGTCACGTGTACTTTTTATCATCCATAGCCATGCCCCTGAGGCAGTCATGTGCGCTGCTCTTTTATCAAGTGAGCAATAAGTTTGGGCAGAGCTAGCATTCAAAGGTCAGGGATGATCAGCGGTGGATGATGGGAAAGTGAGAGTCACTTCATGAGGATGGTCTTGTTGCCTTGGAGTTCTCACTGCACCCTGTGACCATGGAGAGAGGGTATTGACTCTAGAGGGGCACGGAAGGGGTTTCTGGAACAATGCTTGCCCACTCAGAGGTTTGGGGGTTCCACACTCTGTCCATCTCCTTCTATTGGAATAGGAGCAAATGGCCTTTGCTCACCAAATTGGGGGGGGGGTTGAACTGGGGACCTCTTAAGGTACCAGGCTATAGAACGAGGCTGTACCTCATTGAGGGTGGCCTGGGCCAGGCAGGGAGAAAGGCAGTGGTCAGGACAGTGCTATGACTAAACCCAGTGTGTGCCACTTGGTGGGAACAGACCGAAGTGGGGAGAAGGTGGCTTGTATTTTGTGGGCACTTGACCTTTGCTTATCAACGAATAATCACTTTCCACAGAGGCCAACCTGTTTGCAGAAACGCCTGAAGGTATACGAGCAGGGACTACAGGGCAACTTCACCAGATTCAGGGGCACCTTGACCATGATAGCCAGACACTACCAGAAGTACTGCCCCCCCACCCCGGTAAGTGGACAGCATCAGGGCCCAGGGCAGAAATGTCTTAGTCTGGGAGGGTAGAGCCAGTGAGGAGGGACCTCTGGCTGTGGCTGTTCAGGATCCCAATAAGTGGTTTCTGTGTCATTAAATGTATCACAGGAGCCCCCAAGAACAGGGCACAGCTCCTGTTCACCCCTAGATGCTAAGTTGAGTGCCCACTGCTTTCCCCCTTCCCTGCCCTTGTCATGCGTGCTATTATCAGTCATGGGGTCAGGGGTGAGGCAAACCCAAGGCAGCTCAGGGCCTGCCCAAGCCCAGAAGAAGAGCCAGCACCCAGGTGCCACTTCCTGGCAGGACTTTCCTGTGTGGGTGCCAGTATACCACGGATACAGGGAGGGGACTCCTCAAGTGGGCAGACACCCCAAACATCCCCATTTTCTTTCCTCATGGAAGAGTGTGAGCCCCGTGCCTTTTGAGAATCAAGGAGATGGCCCAGGCTGGCTACTTTGCCTCTCACCTGGAACCAAAGAGTCACTAGTCTTTAGACCCAACTAGTCTAAAGACCAGAGGCAGGCCTTCTGGTAGGCACAGACAGTCCCTGGATGCCGTTGGCCGGTTGTGTGTGCCTTAGGCAGCACGTAGGAAGCTTTCGAACGGGCCTCCAGCCTCTGAGTTCTCAGCAGCAACAAAGAAATTCAGGGGTACCTACCTCCCAGTATCACCCACTCACCTCAACTCGTGTTGTTCTGTTTTGTTTGTTCCCTTCAGGAAAATGAATGTGAGACGGAAGTCACCACCTTTGCGGATTTCATAGACAGCCTTAAAAACTTTCTGTTTGACATTCCCTTTGACTGCTGGGAGCCGGTCCAGGAGTGAGACAGCCCAGCCAAGATCTTGATCCAACTTCTCATACGGCTGCTTTTGTGCCTATGTAATGAGCCAGCAACTCAGGATTTCTGCCTTGAAGGGATCTAGGGGTGGGCCACAGCCACAGTGGGGGCAGTACACACCGTCTCTGAACATGTTGACTCACACATAGAAATGGTAGACAAATGAGGGGTGTTTTCTACTGATAGGGACCAGTAATATTTATTTATGTATTTATATTTTTAAAATATTTATTTATTTATTTATTTAAGCTAGCAACTCTATATTTATTTATGCAGGATGTCTTACCATAATAATAAATTATTCAAATGTTTGTGCGGTTGTCTGGCTTGTTTTTAAGAGGGGAGGAATTTGGGTGGTAGTGGAGTGGGAGGGTGGACTATTGGGATAGGGTATTGATGAGGGACAGTGCTGTCATGGCCAATGGTAGGTGAGATGAAGGCCTGGGCACAGCGTGGACCTGGATACAGTATCTCGGGGCCTAGGTGGACCTTCTTGGTTGCTCAAGAGCTTCCACCCCAGAGATAGGGTTCTAGGGTCACCAGGAAGTTGAAGTAACCATTCCAAAGACCTGCCGCAGAGAAGGGGTGTCATGCTTTCTAGGAACTAAGGGGTTTCTGGGGTCAGTAGTCACTATCTAAGCAAGTCATCCCCCAGGTCCAGTGAAACTGCTGTCCCTTCTTTGAGGCCACAGACCCAGTGTCCCTACTTTACCCTCACACTTGGGGCCTTAACCACTCTTCAAAGTAAATCAGCAAATAGACTAACTATTTGGAGGAAAAGAAACTAAACCGCAGGGGTTGGAGCTCAGCATATTTTACCCGGCTTCCCCCCCCCCCCCCCGAGTGGGTGATCTTAATCTTCAGCAGTCAGAATGTCGGTATGGCTGTGCATTGGGGCATAAGCACTCAAAGGTGTCACTTTTCCTAACTAGTTTTTATTTTTCCGTTAAACTTTGACTCTCATGGGTATTTTTCTACTAAAATCCACGGCCTTGGAGAGGAGAAAAATGTAATTATCCCCTGTCTTTGTTTGACAACCAGGCAGAAGATCTTGGTTCCCAGTTTCTTACCCCAACCCCCAAGACCTTCAGGAAGTAAGTGTGGTCCCAAAGCGGGGGTTGGGCAGTGAGCAGAGTCTTCTTGCCTGGGGAAGCTGACTCTGCAGTCTAAGGACCCTGCGGGTGCCAGGCTGCAGTGATGGCCTACTGCCCCCTGAGCTGCAGCCTGCACACTTGATGGCTCACTCCCAAGCCAGACACTCACCTCAGGCAAAAAGACCACAACACCCATCTGCAATCGCAAATACAAATTCTTCGAGCAAGCCAGAATCTCAGCAAGGAGAAGGAGCCACAGAGTACGGCATGATATGAAAATGCATAAAAAGCACATCTCACCACGATAAAGTCCCTCTGTCTTCTTCAGAAGGCATGGATAACTGATAGGTAGCATCTACATTTCCTTAGTGTGTGTGTGTGTGTGTGTGTGTGTGTGTGTGTGTGTGTGAAATGCTGTTAGGCAAGCCAACCTCAGATTTATTGTGAGTCCCCTCTGAGACGATGCACCTGTGTATGTTCCTGGCTTTTGTGCTCTGGGGGTCAGGAAGCCATTGTGCCCCAATGAAGGCAGCCACTACGACTCCCCAGAAAAATCCCAGGATTCTCTGTGCTGACATTCAGCAAGAATTGCCTGCCGACAAGAAGACGTACCGTGTAAGTCTGACTCTCCATCGATCCATGCACACTCCTGTTTGCAGGGCTACTTCAGTCGGTCTCAGGATACCAGTGAGGTAAGACAGGACAAACTTCAGCCTTTCTGGCCACAGCTGTATGGGGAGAGATGGGTTGCCTCAGTCAGCGAACAGGGTGGAGATGAGAATGAGAGATGATGGGGGTTTGAGAACTGAAACTGGCTCAGTCAATAGAGGAACCAGTGACCAGTGATTTGGCCAGGCTCTCCAGCCACCATCCCAATGTAGTCCCCAGATCCAAGAGGAGAGGAAAGGATGTGTTCTCTCCATTGCATAGCCTGCAGGATCCACAAGTCTCCCGTGGGACTCAGGGTAGGGCCTCTGGTCCAGGGCTCCATCAGACTAGGGTGAGCAGGGATGCGTCAAGAGCAGAGCCTGCTCGCATCCCGCTTTGCAGACCCACTACCCCAAGGCTTCTACCCCTGTTTTAGAAGCTCTGCTATACAAAGTATGTCACCTCTACCCTGAAAAGGCTGTCTGATAGGTATTATACCGCAGTACCCACACATACCAAAGATTTGTAAGGACATGGAACTCCTCACAGAAATCTGCACAAAGCAGCAAGGACGTTGCTGTTTGCTGTGAGGGGGACTTGAGACCGAATTTTCTTGCACTACAGCTAGGGGTCCAGTGAGCCTGTTACAGGCTGCTATACCCCTGAGACCTCTTGGGCTGAAGAGCCCCTTGGGGAGCCGATAGTATGAGGAGAACTGCAGTTTGGGGGAACACGTGGAGACACGACTGAGCTGTGCTCTCTTTGTCCTTGGCTTGCATGGTCCCAGGAACTTCAGCTGGCTCACACTCATGACCTTATCCAGGATAGCAGTGGGAGCTGCCTCACATGCTTTGCTTCCTTCCCGTGGCTCTGGGAGGTCATCAGAGTCCAGGTCTCAGTGTCACAGCTGACCCCGTACCCTTCTCAGACAGAGAGGGAGGGTCTCCCTGAGCTATTCCCTAGAAGACAGGGTGCCTTTGTTTTTTCCTCTGGTGAAGGAGGTGGCTTTTAAACGTGTGTTCCTTCAGACTGCAGATCCACCAGAGGACTTTGAGCAAAGCGATTTCTCCAGGTTCAAGGAATCGTTAAAAAGAGTTGTCATCTCCATAGAAGGATGGAAATCATATTAGGAGATCTAGGGCAGCCTCTGTGGCTCCATCTTTTCCTGGGCTTGGAGGTGAAGGAAACAGGGTTTAGGGGAGTCTCAGGAATTATTTACTGTGGGCATGGTGAAGGGCTTAGGGTCTGGCATTGCTCCAGAACACAAGGCTGGGGGCAGGCCATAGTGGAGAGTGCCTGAGGCCACAAATCTGTAACTGTTCTATTAGCTTTCGCTGCTTCAATAAAGCCAGAATGTAAGAATACTGGACAGAGTCTTATCTGGGGCCTCATGGACTGAACGGGAGAGAAAGAGCTCCATCATGAAGTGCTTGGCCTTGAATCCTTCCTACAAGGAATATTCCTTGGGCTGCCTCCTGTTCCCTCATCTGATCCAAATCCCATCTTTTCCCAGAACCCCCTTCCCAGTCCACCAATACCTACCTACCTCCAAGGCCCAGTGCTGAAACAGGAGGCTTAAATCACTTCCTCCCTTATTCTCAACTACAGCCCCTGGGCAGCTCCCTGGATCTACCCCCATCTGTCCCTAGGCCCAGACAGAGTGTGGCTGGGGGGACTTTCAGGCCCCCTACTGAAGACTAGGCATGGTGTGGGACTTGGGCAGGAAGGATGTCCACAAAGCTCAGGGATCCTTACACTCCCAGTTCTACCAGCATTGAAAGAGAGTCATCTAGCCACAGAGTAAAGCCCCCTCTCTGGTTTATATAATTCCTCACGACGCTTTCTGGGCATCTGTCGTGACAACACATCTCTGACCCCCAACCCCCTCATCCCCCACCTTCATAGGCAGTTTTGTGTAGGTCCTGAAGTGCTGGCAGACAGGACTTCCAAGCTCGGACTGCCCCTGTCCCCAACACTGAGTACCAACCCTCACCCTAATCACTTGAACGATTTATTGAGGATGCCTGAGATTAGCCTACAGTTCAAACAACTTCCCATAATCCAAAGCGTTGAGAGCAAAGCTTCAACAAGCCAGGACAGATAAGGCTGTGCTTATCCTGAAGTGCAATTAGTTATCAATACAATACCAGCCTACTGGCAGACTGTGTCCAGCTATGCAGGCCACACACACACACACCTGCCATCCTTGCCAAAGGACTCTAGGCCACAATTTCTTATCTCTAGAGATATTAGCTGCCATAGAGACCAGAGATCAGAAATGTGGCCGGACAAAGTTGTCTAGATGTCTCAGAACACTGGGGACAATCCTGTGGCTCTGGGCCAGGCATCACAGGCATCTTCAGGGCCTGGGGCCATGGCTGGTTTCAGCTTGGAGAAAGTCTTGGTCTGGTTCCTATAGGTTCTGGGCTCTTGAGTGCATGGCATGGGTACTCAGCATTCCTAAGACCACTCCTTTAAAATTGGCAGTTGGGTCTGGGTAGGGCTTTAGGGACATCATTGCAGGAGGAACCAGTCCTTCCCTTCCTTGGCTTCCTATTAGTTGGTATGTGGGCTCCCTGACCTTGAACTCCTGATGAAGCCTGAGATACCTGTAATCGAATCAGGGTGTAGGAGGTCCTTGTCTCTTCCACTGCTTGCTGTGTGACCTTGGATGAATCCCTTAGTCACTTAGACACAGAGTCCACAAAGGGAGGATGAACTTCAGCACTGGAGGCCACACCTCAGCCCGAGCACAAGGGCTTCAGTCAAGCTGAATAGCTGCAGAGCATCTGGCTCACTCAGGAGGCACTGAGGTCAGAGAGGCTAATGACACTGTTGGTAGATAGCAGAGCCAGGAAGGGCACAGGAGCAAAAGGGATGAACTATTCCAAGCCTTCAGTCAAAGTCAAGAAACAGGCCTTGCCATGAAGATCTCTTGGATTTTCCATGCACCCCAGTTTTCCCTCTAGGTTGACTCAGCTCTGGATGTGATGCTGGGGTGCATGCTGGGGCTGCATGCATACAGGTCCTGTCCCTGAAAGAAGAAGGCGTGAGTCCACAGCTCCCTGTACTTGAGTTTAAGAAGATATAGGAGTGAAAAGCGGGGATTCTTGGATGGCTACTCAGTCCACAAAACATGGCCTTGACCTGACAATGTCTGGATCAAGCCCTGGGGATTGCCTTTCCCTAACAGGCCAGGGCCAAAACAAAACTGTAGCTTCTGTACGAGGCACCCAAGAGTAGCCTGGCTCTGAAGAACTATGTTTGGTCTCTTTGAGCCCATCTTGAGCCCAGAAGGGATAGCAAAGCTAGCTGGCTGAGAGAGAGAGAGAGACTCATGACTGTCTAGAATATAGGAATAGCCCCACTCCTCCTAGATGCCTTCTGAGGGTCCTTGCTCACAATATCAGCAGGACTCTAAGAAATCCATGAAAGCAGCTGTCGGAGCCTCTCTCATGCTGAGCCTTGAAAACTGGACCAGTTCATAGATAGCCCCATGCAGTCTGTGAACATCCATGGTGTCGTCACATGGTGTG